CAGTCTAAATATTATTTGTGTATTTTGCTTTCATTTTATTAGAAGTAGGCCAACAGCGCCCCCTACGGAATTAAAATTCCTTACCAAACGGGCATTAGGACCCGGTGGAAGGCTGTCACTGCTGCCACTGCACGTGCTATTACTGTTTACTCTTTCATACACCAAACTCATCATTGTACGTGCATTCTCAATTTAAATGCAGCGATCCAAAACAGTGAATCTAATCACCAATCAGGCAAAACTTTGCTTCAAGAATGAGCCACACTGCTGACGTGATCTAATCACTAGCACTCCCTGAGCACATGCGAGTTAACGTATTCCTCTTATCGGCAAGACATATCGGCATCATTTTTCATATCGGGCCGATATTTACATTTAACATCGTTATCGGCCGATTCCGATATAGGTCCGATAATATTGTGCTTCCCTATCCACCATCCCACTAAAAACCTCTTTTTCTTAGGCTAGTTAACTTATGTTCAAGTTTCCCTCATTCATGTGTTGAGCGCCACCTCGAGGAGCCATGAAGTAGCAATGCTGGGAGCAGGGAAATCTATTTAGAACTCCTTATTTTATTAATTAAAATATCGATATTTGATGCCAGTGTATCAATTCTCATATTGCACAGAGAAGGTCAATGATATATTGCCATATCGATATTTTGTCCCACCCCTAGGAAGCGCTATACCAGTGCTCATTTTAACCAAGGTCTAGTAGCTTTGCATCTAAATGGCCTCGAGCTAAAATTTCAGTTTGGTATCACATCTGACTTCATCGTTAAATGAGGCTGCAAGTCCCATTTTGCCGAAGAAAAAGCTGTCCGTCTTTCATCTCAATCTGGTGGAAAGGTCTTAATAATATGTCGGCAGAGATAAATGTTTGTATAGTAAACAAGTCAATAGATTGGAAAGACTGCCCTTCCAAGAATTAGAGCAATGGTGTTCTTCTCATGTTTCCTTTCACCAGACAATATTGTGCATCAGACACAAGACTTGAGTAAGACGAGACATGCCCACTTGTTATCCAGCTTTCACACTAACTAACCAACCCAAATCCACTAACCCAAATCCACTCCTAACTGAAAGTACCATGAACTTCCACTAGCAGAATGTGTAGAGACAAACATTCATTCAGCAAACATTCAGCTTTTCTTGTAGTGTCTTGTACTGCCAACACATAAATCAAAAATCTTAAACTAAATTTAAACTTGACATCAAAGACCATCTATCAAATATTCACAGCTCTCAAGCAAATCATTACTCAAAAATGCCCCAAAAGTGTGACCCCTGGAGAGTGACATGTAAATAAAACAGCCACACTTGAACACATTGGCATTCATGATCAATGGAGCGATGAGTACGGGGAGTTTAATTTCCATCAGCTGTAGTGAACGAGAAATAAAGTACATGACTTGATTTTCTTCAAAAGACCGTTTCCTTGTGCTCTGGGTTGTTTACTAGCACACAATAAAGAGTTTATTCTTTTTTTATATGAGGAACATAGCAGCTGAAAATGGCTGCCAAATCATTACTGTAAAAGTGATTAGTCAATGTCGATGACAGAGTACAGGGTAATTAATTACATGTAAATGAAATCTATTGTTAATCACAGAGCAACTAAGAGACTGCTTACAGTATGCTTAAGATGGTACATATATATCAATGCACAGGATTTCATAAGCATTGCTGACCACTACAGAAGTGAACAGAGACAATGAAGATGAGGTTATTGTCCTCACTGACAGGGTATAATGTGAAAAGAGAAATCACATGAACCTCAAGTGAACCAACAAATCCAATTAAAGCCTTGCACATCATGATGGAGACACCTATTAAAGGCTTAGTACACCCCCAAAAAAGTCGTTTCATATTTCATATTTTGTTCATCCTCATGTTCTAAACCCAAACAACTTTTCTCAGTGAAGCACAAATGATGTTAGGCAGTATGACAGCTTCACTATCCTTTCACTTTTATTCCATCTTTTTCCAAAAAAATAAAAGCGAATAGATATTGAGTCATTCCACCTGGCAGCTTTAGTTTTTTTCTACGGAAGCAAGAAAGGTTTTGAGCAACATGAGGCTGATAGAATGGTGATGAAATGTTCATTTTTGTAAACTAAACACTTACAAATATAATAACTCAAAACATAAACGCATCAGGAGTGTGAGTGTACAGCAGCTGTTTACATTCAGAGCATAGCGGCCTTTGTGATATTTACCTTTTAGGTCCTTTTGAGTAGGTGAAGGTGAAGGTGGAGTCGGAGAATCGAAAGTCTGAAACAAACAGACAATCAGACTTGGGGTTTGTGAACAATATAACACACTGGACCACAAAAAAAGTCCCTTTCAACAAGTGTAGTCTCCATGGCAACATCAACAGGGAATGTCCACCGACAGTGAATATACAAGAATTAAATGGATAGCTGATAACTGTGTGATGTTTAACAATAGTAAGGCGTGGGCTAATAAAAAAAATCATTCACATCACAAAACAACACCTGAGACGAATGTTAATGCGTTTATTAGGGTGATAAAAGCAGAATATGTGGGGAGCAATAGTAAAGGCAGTTTACGTTTTGCAAGGCCCTCGGTTGCAGTTGATTATTGCATAATTTATAATGTCCAGGAAAGATTAAATTGCGTACGCCGGAGCACAATAGCCACATATGTGTTTTTGAACATATCGGGCTTTCGTGTGAAGGAGGAAATAAAGGCATCAGCGGTGAGATTGACAGCCTGTCAGTTGTGTTGATTAAATCTATGGCAATTGTTAAAGGAAGACAGCTCTCTTAATAAGACACAATGGAAACTCACCAGAAAACAGGCAGTCTTTCTCTGCCTTACACCTTTGAATTACGATGTCGACGTCTTTTTGAATCCTCTCTTGCCTTGAACACATCCCCATGAAATAACACACACTAGAATGGCTTCTCTAACTAATATTCGGCGAAACAAACGAATCCTTTCCGCTCGCAGGCACGATGGATATGGGGAACAGCAGGAATACGTGCTTGGAGGTCTGCTGTAACAATCTCAGGTGTGTCACGCCAACCGACACCGTTTCATTTCTTCTAACAATAGCCTCGATCGCATGAGCACAGCGGAGAGCTCTTCCTCGCGACAGCCTTCAAAAAAGATATCACTTTTACACCGGAAGCATCTTTCAGTCGTCCTCATAACTCTGCTGAACCCAACAATGGCGATGTCGAAAGCCAAACCACGGAGCGAAAAAAAAAAAAAGCTATCGCAAGTCTTAAAGTAAATCCAACGCGGGCGAGAGCATCAGACCGTAACGGATGAGCTGAAGTTGCACCAAGGGGCAAATCAGTGTGGGAATCCTGTGTTAGCATCCACGAGCTGAACCCGGTGGGAAGGGGAATCACAACAAGGCGGATGATGTCATGGACGTGTTTTTCTCCCCACGCGCCCTCTTTGCTGCTGGCCAGCACTTTGGACCTGCTCAGCATCACTGGCTTCTGATTGCCATGGAATAAAAAGCTATTTATTTGCTAATAAATATATATTCCGCTTATCATTGTTGATTTTTAATTAAACTGTATCACATAAACATTGTCCTTTTGATTATACGGACGAAGCACATGTATACTGATATTCAGTACAACAGCAACATTACAAGTGTGATGTTTCTTTTCTACAAGTTAAATAAACAGCTAGTAAAGGGGTCATATGATGCGAGTGCGTCAGACGTTGTGCCACTCATCAACCCACAGACCGAAAGCCGGACTAGAGTATGGATCGGTGTAAATGAAGCGTTCTGTGATCAATCGGAAGCTCCACTACGGGTTTTGCATTTCACACTCTCCTCACACTAATGAGAGAACCCCTACTCCGAGAGGACAGACAAGTGCTTTTAGCGTGTTTTACTGAATTTTGAATCCAGAAAAGTCACAAAACTCACATTTATGCTTGGTTACATTATCAGTTAATATATAGGCCTAATATTATAAATAATCAATATTATATTTAGTGGTATGTTGTAGTCTAATGCTATATTTGAAACAACAATCTAACAAATTCATTAAACATCTTACTTTTGGGGATTTAAGACGCTTTAAAGTGAGGATATACTCATGGGAATGCAAAATATTTATAACTTTATTCTCAAATTAGATAAGAAAGAATTACAATAATAATTTTTTTAAGAGTGTTTCATGAATCTGCATGGTCCCTGATTTTTAAAGGAGATAACAACCTTGGCATTTGTATCACTGGAGAAAGCCTTGAGATGTCAACTTGAATCATATGTGCTTGGTGATATAATCATATCATGGCCTTGATTACATTGAATGCTTTCAGAGTTTAACAGTTAGCCTCGTTTGCAGATTCCATACAACTGATTGTGCAGTATCGTAAATGAATCTTACCAACTGTAAAAACGTTGTGACCTCTTATATAAAACAGCTTTATTTGATAACAAATCACTCCAAAATAGATGCCATGTTGAATATTAGCAGACAGGCAGTCAATTTATGCGACAAGCTAATTCCACAGTGTCCATGATGTATCTGGCATATGCACTGCCACCTCAAACACATTGTTATAACATTGCTTTTCGTCTGTAGAGCAACAAAGCTTTTACCCACTAAACTGTATGTGGAATGGGTCATGCAATCAATAGGAACACATCACAACACAGTTCATCACCCTTCTCACACTGTGCTTCTTCTCACATCAACATTATGAACGCTGAACAGTTTCATTCCGGTCTATATATACAATTTTCACGTCTTATCTCACAAGGATAAATGTGTATAATAACACCAGCAAAATGTTTTTTGAACATGCTATTATGGTAATAGTTTTGTTTTTTGTACGTATATATACTTGGTGTATTGTAGAAATAGCCTAACAAGGTACATGAATATGATAATCTGGTTATAATCACCATACCATGGTACTTTTTGTGTAGGGGAAACTAAAGATTAACATTGATTTACAGGTTAATTATTGTTTTTATCCATCATTTATCACAGCTGATTGAAATCCTATCAAACAGTCATCATTGGCGATAAATAACCATAATTTAATTTAAATTTTTCTAAATTTGCATCAAGCATTTGCATGAATGAAACTGAGATTCTGTTCACACCAGAGAGGAAAAGCTGTAGAGGGGCACGGTTTAGGCCACAGTAGCCCATCCAGCCTGAAGATGGGTGGCTGTTTTAGTGGCACTTTGATTAACAGCTCCATCCGGACTTTGGCTGGTGGCTCACCAGTCTGGAGCTGCTCCAAGGAGACCACACTAGCCCAGCTGTGCTGAAGCAGGCAAGGCCTCGGCTGATGACTGCAGTGGCAGGAAAATCCATCTTCCTGTACTGAGCCTCAAATGTATTTCCCCCTTCCATACACTGGGTGATTGAGGATTTAGTGCATGTTCTGATGAATACACACACAAACACACTCATCATTTTCTCTTTCACCTAAATGGCACCTCATCTCAATGCAATGTTGTTGGAATCAACGCTGCTGAAGTGCAATGCAGAACTTGGCTAATGATTCTTCTCCGCACCGCCATCAACACATCATTCATTGCTCCTTTCGATGATTTCACCATTATGAGGGTGATAAAAGAGCCCTGGTGAATTTCAATGCAACATATTTTGGAGGGGAATTCTAGACCCCTCTAGGAAGCACTGTGCTAAAATAAAGACATGCACAAACACATATTTACTGCCAGCTGGCTAAAGACAAAAGGAGAATTTGACAAAAGGGAGTGAAAATGAACAATATAAGCAGGTAGACAGAGAGGAGAGCAGTGTTTCCTGTTTTTTGGGGTGTCCCACATCATTTGAGTTGACTCCATGCTGAACTCAATTCATTAATCCTAATTTCACAGTTAGTCAAACAGTTGATGACTGTGAGCGTACATATGCACTCTAGTGCTCTATATTATCAGGTCTGCATGCTAGATAAAGTGTGTTTAAGAGGCTGGATGCATCCAATTTACTAATAATCCTCTTTCTTCGTCACTGTTAAAGGTTTTGCGTTGGATATGTTGAGACCCATGTTTGTCTTCAGCACTTAATCATTCAGCAGAACTCAAATCAGCAGAATTTGCAGCAGGTCCGTTTTGGGAGTCACTCCTGCTTCAAAAGACTGCTTGCCTTAGATATTTATATTGGACACATCTTTAATGTATTTGCCCTTATCAACAGCGCCCAGGAAATTGGCATTTTATATGAAATACTGTAATCTTTTCATTTAATAAACTTTTTTTTTTGTGTGTGTGTTTTATAGGAATCTTTATTGCCCTGCTACGTAATGGGAATTATGATCAGTTATGAGTATCCTCACATTTCTGCAGGAAAGTTGTGTGTGTGTGTGTGTGTGTGTGTGTGTGTGTGTGTGTGTGTGTGTGTG